TAAAAAAAAAAAAAAAAAAAAAAAAAAAAACCAGGACGTCGGGGCCATTGGGCCTACTTGGGACTGACAGTTTAATTGGTCCTTTAGTGGGTGCGTACTGGCTTTAGCAGCTGTACACTGGTTACGGACTGTCCATAGCCACTGTCTACAGCGTGGGCTATGAACTGTAGCCGGTACCATGCAGCTGACAAACCGAGTTGCATACTCTTATTGACTTTGGCTGGCTGAAGGAGTAGAAGAAGATTCCACAAACGACTTGCTTCATTTTTTGAATGAAGTTTGTAAATGAATATCTGCCCTTTCCGAGTCTCGATGCAGTTGCTTCTAAAAAGGGCGTACTCACGCAGCGGTGACATAGCAGCAAAATCTGCGAATTTTGCTATCCCGATTTTGATGAAATGCCACCCCGCCGGTCACACAGCGGCAGCAAATCACAGAAGACACGAGCCGGACTTTCTGGCAATTGCCAACAAAATGGTGCCTCGCGTGGTCACACAGCGTGCGGCCCAAATCCTTCTTTCAACAAAGTTCGTTTCGTATTTCCTTTCACAAACTCTCGAACTGAAAAAAAAAAAAATGCTACCACCACCAGAGGTGGTAGCAAAATGCCCTTCCCCGCAGCCTGCCCGCCAGGCCACTGACATTTGATACCCCATTAGATACCCCGCTTGCTGCTTTTGCCACTTTCCCTGCCTCCTGCGACTGGCCCAACCATCAATCATGTTTTAGCTATTTTTGGCAAAAAAAGGCCCTAACTGGAGTTACAATTTTGGTGTATTTTCGTTTGCTGCAATATTGGTCTGTCATTGTCGTTATGTCAATCGCTGTCATGGGTGGACTTTCATTTCGCGTTTTAGGTGACATCATCTGTTTCAGCCTTGGATGACAAGATGGCGTGCATCATGCGGCTAGTGAAGTGTGCCCAAAACTTTGCTGAGAAGCACAGGGATGAAAATGCAAGAGCCCTCAAGATTCTTTCAAAGCGTATAAAGAGCCTAGAAAGTGGCATTCAGGTATGGAATCACAATGTGAGGAGATTAACAAAGCCAGTCAGTTTTTTTTTCTTATTGCTTCCCTTTTGAAAGGGGTGTAGTGAGTCCTTGGGCGGGACATCCGTTAAAATGGGAACGATACAGAGAGACGAAGATTAGTATGGCCCCTGCGCAAGGATGACATGCATAAATCGAGAAATGGTCCCCCCCAAAAAGAAAGGTGTGTAGCGAAAATGCCATAAAACACAAACCAACATCCATAACCGCTATCCCCGGGAAGGTGCATTCCCGTTTCGTTTTTCGAAA